GGTGCAGACGCGTCGCGTCGCGACGGAGAGACAGTCGGCTAGAGAAATGCCAGAAGGTCGTCGGTTCTTGTTCGCGAAGAGAAGGAAATGCAAGCGTATATGCCCGTTCCGTGGCGAGAGCCGACTGGCCGGCAGTTCCAGCACCTGGAACGGCTGACGGTAACCGGGTACAATGCCTCCTATATCGAGTGTCCTTCTTTAAACACCGGCCGCCATCGGTGACCTCCTCGTCTATCCACTTCAATCTCACCGTCCCTCTCGCTCGCCTTTACGAGGACATTCCGTACTCTCCGCTCTCCTATTAACCGCCAGGTAGAGAACAGCGGTGCTCAAACGAACCTAACTCGGGGTTGCAACTTATACCTCGGGTTAGACGGGAGGGATATGCACACCACCGTCGAGTTGGTCAGCGTGAGAGCTGAGCGTACGTCCGGTAGCGGTGTAAAGGCGTTATCGATCCTGCAACTCGTGGCCGCTTTTGTACATAGGCTGCTAGACTCGATTCTGACCGCTGACACGGGAACAACAGAGTTCATGTTTCTCGACTCGATGGATTTCTGGATCATGGGCGACTGCACGCTGCTGCACCGCGCGACCGTAAACTGCTGGTCAAAGATTTTCGAGTTTCGACTTCTTGGAATATGGGGATTTCGAGGTTTTGGTGTTTAGGAACTTGACACTTCGGTAACTTAGAAATTTCGGTCTTTAACTTGGAAAGGATGTTTAGATATTCTTGGGAGACTTGGAAATTTTGAAGCTTGATACTTTGGAAACTTGAAAACTGAAATTTGGAGGATTATATTTTCATGGTTAGAAGTGTTATATAGCTCTTAAAATTTTAGAATGCCCTTTGATAAATTGCAAAATAATTTTTTATGGAATTTTGTTTGGGTACTTCATCCCTCATGCATGACCACATATGACATTTATGTGAATTGATTTTTTCAATCGTTAGTGATAAACGTTCACAGTGACCTTCATGGTACGAGGATATATTTACTTAAATATTTAATAACCAGTTGGTAGAAATGTTCGGGACTAAAGAGAATAATAGCACGAAAGGGTTAAAAGGTACGTAATTAACTGATTAAACAGTGTATAAATTTTCACTTAATTGACAATAAATTTAACAGCATCTGCTAATGTCACATTAATGAGTTAATCGCTTATTGCATTATTCTTTGTATAATCTGTTGTGACGTGCGTTGACCGCAAATATTGCACCGAATAATTGCGAAAGTCTAGTATAATTCTATTATTCTACAAATTTATACAAAGAGAATAAACGTTGACTGATAAAAATCGTCCTAAAAATGCAAACAAAGAGTTAATATTTTTCGTACGGATTTTTTCTGCCGTCATAGTTCGACGAAATCCATTTTTCACGATATTCAGATTGTTCCAAATTGACCATCTCGGTTGATTGAACGAGAAAAAGAGAGAATCGACGAACAGCCGCGTTCATCGAGTTCCGCTCGAGACGAAACTGCAAAAATAAATGAGACGAGCCGTAAATAATTTCACGCTGCCGGACTTTTTTAAAATAAACATCTTACGGGCCTTTCTGTGCAGTCGAATATTTTATTCGTACATTGCAAGATTTCGTTGATTCGTATATTACCAAGCGTGGGATTACCACGCACCGAATCACTGAATTACCATGCGTGGAATAACCACGCGTTGGATCACCACGCGTGGGATTACCACGCACTGAATTACCATGCGTGGGATAACCAAGCGTTGGACTTCCACGCGTTGGATTAGCACGCGTTGAATTACCACGCGTTGGACTACCACGCGTGGAATTACCACGCACTGAATTACCATGCATGGGATAACCACGCGTTGGACTACCATGCGTTGGATCACCACGCGTGGAATTACCACGCGTTGGACTACAACGCGTTGGATCACCACGCGTGGGATTACCACGCACTGAATTACCATGCGTGGAATAACCACGCGTTGGATCACCACGCGTGGAATTACCACGCACTGAATTACCATGCATGGGATAACCACGCGTTGGACTACCATGCGTTGGATCACCACGCGTGGAATTACCACGCACTGAATTACCATGCATGGGATAACCACGCGTTGGACTACCATGCGTTGGATCACCACGCGTGGAATTACCACGCACTGAATTACCATGCATGGGATAACCACGCGTTGGACTACCATGCGTTGGATCACCACGCGTGGAATTACCACGCACTGAATTACCATGCATGGGATAACCACGCGTTGGACTACCATGCGTTGGATCACCACGCGTGGAATTACCACGCACTGAATTACCATGCATGGGATAACCACGCGTTGGACTACCATGCGTTGGATCACCACGCGTGGAATTACCACGCACTGAATTACCATGCATGGGATAACCACGCGTTGGACTACCATGCGTTGGATCACCACGCGTGGAATTACCACGCACTGAATTACCATGCATGGGATAACCACGCGTTGGACTACCATGCGTTGGATCACCACGCGTGGAATTACCACGCACTGAATTACCATGCATGGGATAACCACGCGTTGGACTACCATGCGTTGGATCACCATGCGTGGAATTACCACGCGTTGGATTACCATGCGTGAGATTACCACGCACTGCATTACCCTGCACTATATCACTCTTCTCCAGATTCCCCATACTCCCAAACCTAATCTAAACCTCTGTCCTCCCTAAATTCCTCCACCCAAAAAGAAACACTAACAATTCCACTTCCCATATAACAATCTACTAATCAAATTGAAATCACGTTTCCTCTCAATAACCATTACATTTGTGGTTCCAGCAATTCCCGCGACAGTGAAAGTTAACACCTCGTGTAAACCGGCTTCACTGTATCCAATCTCGTAACTCCGCAAGCAAACTTTCTACGCGACGGAGAGAACAGCGTACAACAGGTTAATCGTCCACGACGTCCAAGTTCCTCGAGCATGTCAGGTTCACCGAGACGCGACCGAGGGGATGAAGTCGAGCGTCCTGAGGACGTCGAAGAGGAAAAGTCGCTTTTGTCGTGTACGAAAAGCGGCTCGAGGTGAAAGAAGAAACAACCAGACGGTGTTCAATAAGCGTGGGCGTATAAAGAAGACACGGATTATGATTAAACTAGCGTACACGGGACGTCTGTACATATGAAAGGAAGCATCGTCGACAGCTGCAACAACAATAGGAAACTTTGTTGCCGGCTTTATTTGTTCAGCTTCCCTCGGGGCTATCTTAACACGTTAGCTGCCTTCTGACGTATTACTGGCTCTTTCTGCAACGACTTTTAAACTTTTTCTGCAATCATCCCCTGAAGTGCATACTTTTTATCGTGTACTCTCGTTTCATTATAATTTTGTTATAGGGCAGTCTATGTTAATAAAATGATATTGCACGGAACTAGACGCTGCAGTCTTCAGGGACTTTTTAAAAATTATGAATTTAATTGGTGTAATATTTTAGTTGTATTAAATTTGTAACAATTAATTCTTAACAAAATTACAGACTTCGACATTCACATTGTGTAAACATTTATAAAAAGATTAGTTTGCATTAATAATTGAGGGTGATAAGAATTGATCAGAAATGTCAACAAAGTTGAAGTGTTGCAATTGCAACATTCTCCTCGCATTATATTTTATGGCAACCCTTTCATAGTGATATACGCGTTCCTTTGTAAGGTTGTATCGTCGGTGTTTCCATCGCTTGCAGCTTGCTTTTGACGGATGAAAATTGGAACGCGAGAACGAGATGTCCGGACAATTCCTCGAGAAATAATTCTACAAGATTCCATGAAGCAAAAATACCTCCTTTAATGATGTCCGCTCGCGTGCACGGGGTGGACAGTGAAATATGTCCCCCAGGTCTCATTGAGCTTTCTTTACAACCCTCTTTTATTCGCGAGAGAAATGTACCGTAACCACAATGCTGAAGAAACTGTCAGGGTTTTTGTTACCTTCGAGTGTCTTACGATAACATGGAAAATGGTTGCCTCGTTTTATTTTCATTGGTCTATAGAACCAATCTGGAGGATTAATTATCGTCATTTGTTCGAGAGAAGATTTTTTCTCCCTGTCAAACGAGGCGAAGCAGGAAAGTCATTCTAGAATGTATCAGATATATAGCGAAATTAATTTCGATCGTTTGTAACGTTTTAAGGGAAAGAGATGGGCAATCTTTCAATTCGAATTGGAATATGCAATGAGAATTGTATGTCGCGTATTGCCTATTCTCTCTTGATATGATTTTAAGTATGCACATTTATTGTGCTGTTGCATAGAGGATAATCGGATCCTGAATGTATTCAACGCGTGGTAATTCAACGTGTGATAATTCAGCGCGTGATAATTCAGCGCAAGGTAATTCCACGCGTGGTGGTCCAACACGTGGTTATTCCACGCGTAGTAATTCAGTGCGTGGTAATTCAGTGCGGGATGATCCAACGCGAGGTAATCCCACGCGTGATAATTCAACGCGTGGTGTTCCAACGCGTGGTAAATCAACGCGTAGTAATCCCACGCATGGTAATCCAACGCGTGGTAATTCAACGCGTGGTAATTCAGTGCGTGGTAATTCCACGCGTGGTGATCCAATGCGTGGTAATTCAACGCGTAGTAATCCCACGCATGGTT